GATTTTATAGCATACTTCTTGAGGTAATCCTTGCTGCCAACTTTAAGTTCTGCACAGTGTAATGCAGCAGACCAAGACTTGATTCCCTGTCTCATCCATTTCCAGGGAGTGGAAAAATCGGTTACTTGGCAGTGACCTTGCAGGAGCTCATGTTTACCTCCTGCCACAGGGATACGTGTGAGCTGTTGGGCTTGTCTAGTGGGATCTCTGTTCCCGTTTGCTTGTTCAGTGCTGCTTCAGTTGTAAGCTCTTGAGGGCAGAGACTTAATTCTTGTGTTGCAAAGTCTGTGTCTAGATGGGTGCTGTGATAACAACACAGCTTTTCTTACTTTGTTGGGAAAGATGGTTCAGCTTTGGTGTGATGGTCAACTGGTTTCTCTGCTGCTTGGTGCTGGACAAACCTGTTGGTGGTTCCATAGGTCTCTTTGGGCTGATGTCAGTGAAGGACCTAAGACGGTTTGAAGGGATTTATTTGACCCTGTATGCTACTCCTTGTACTTGCCTGTGGAAGTGTGTTGTTAATAATTAATCATGTGTAATAGGATGCACTACTATTATTTTTAATGTGGCCATTAAGTCACACCTTTTCTTTGGTCTTACTCAAGTGTGATTTGAAGGTAACAAACATGGAGCAGTCTTGTGAATGTGCCAGCCACTTGCAAATGATGTGGCCTTGCTGATTTTCATTAGAGTTCTGACTGGGAAACTTACTCGTAATGCACAAGTCTCATGGGAAATGCAAGTCACTTCCAAGTACTTGCCTGGTTTCCCATCGAGACCCTCTAAATTTTGTGTCAGCAGTATCCTTCAGCAAGGAGTCTTTCAAGCCATTGACTTTGTTTTATGGCACCTTTATCTTGTACTGGAAGAGACAGTGAATATTCAGTCCCTCTCTGTGTTCTCCCAGCTACTGGCAAGTTATACAGAGTTTTGTCCTATCTCCCGTCCATCATCTCTTTTCTGGGCTGCATGGTTTACCTCTTCTGGCTGCAATACCAGCAGCCTCAGGGCTGGCCGCTTGTTCCCATCCCTGCCCTTGTGCTGGCTAAGCAGCTGTGGGCAGAACAGGCTGGGAACTTCAGCTGGGTGCAGTTTGGAGCATCAACTTAACCCTTTGTTGTCACCAAAAAAAGCACATCCTACCACCTGCCCCGCACCTCCAGATCTTTCCTGGTGCTCCTACCACTCTTCTTTGCAGTGGTCTGGTACGTGTTAGGCTGACTGAGCTTGCAGAATCACTGAAAACTAACGCAGCCAGAAGAGGTGAAGAGCTCGCTGGGCGAGGGGGTTGATTGAGCTTGTGGAATGATCCAGCAAAGCTGCAGAGCTGGCTTGGACTGCGCAGCAGAGAGATGAGAGGATGGGTACTGTAGGACCTTTTCTTGTTGGCATCATGCTATTCAGCCACGCTGTGCAACATCGCTGCGACACTTTTCATTTGGCTGTTTTAATCCAGGCTCCTCGTGACATTGAGCAAACGCTTGTTCTGGCAGGAGGTGGGCCTGTGAGGAGCTGGAGGGGAGGCAGAAGACCGCAAGAACAGGAATGACTCCTGTTCCAGTATTTTTCCAAATGCTTAATAAGTGCTAAAAGATCACCAGCTTCCTCCCCTCTGGGACAGACTTACGTTGTTCCTAGTTGTGCAGCTTTTTTACTGTGGACATGGCTGTAAAATGTGAGCTTTGAAGAACCCGTTCTCGGGAAGTCTTCTGTGTTACTTGTACCTGGTGCAGATAGTGTGCAGAACGTAAATTCACATCATTCTGCTTGCTAGGTAGTAAAGGATTTGTTTACTGTGCCCTCCTCTTCCCATTTTTTGGGCTATTTTGAAAGCTTGGCTGTAACATATCCCAAAACTCGTCTGCTTTTGCCAAGGCCCACTGTGAACGATGGAGTATGGATGAATACTTATTATAAAATTCACTTTGATGTATTGCATGTCTTTAACCAAAGGCACATGGGGAATTTGTTTTGGACAATGAATTTGAATTCTATTGGGATTGATATTGTATCTTTTAAAGAGGGCAGATTTACCCAGACACAAAACTGTAAACTCCCATATTTTCCCAGAGAGCTCCTGTTGCTTTAATAATCTAGTTATCTGGGAATCTCTTGAAGTATCAAAGGGCCAATTATGTGCTGCCTGGAGAGGACCAGGGAGAGCTGTTTTTGTGCTAGAATTAATAGATACGGGCTGGTCACAGCAGGTCTGATGTCCTCCCTAGCTCACCACTGTAAATTTTGCAGGGCAGAGATAGTAATCATTTATTTTCATCTCGCATCTCCCCTTTGCTCAGCAGGAGTGACTCTTAACAGGACTGCATGGTTTCTTCTGATATTTAGACAAGACATTAAAGACAACTTTAAATGAAAAACCTTAGAAAAACTGATCAAGAATGGCTTGTAATGGCTTGTGACAAAGCAAGGTGGGGAATGCCTCGTGAAGGAGGTAGAAGTCTTCTGTTAGCTTGATGT